CAATCATTTTATTGTTGGTGAAAGTGAAATGGAAAGGTAATGACTGCCTGTGAAAGGAAGCTGTCAGAAGGTTGTCAGTGTCAATCCTTGATATATGCCTGATAAATGTAGCTCATTTTTGCATCAGTGTTTGTTCTTTAGAGATACTATTATCTTTATGCAAACAAGGGGACTTTCATAATAATCCTGTCATAGTACCGCATTAGAAAGCAGTGATTTTCTTCAAAGATAGTGAGTCCTACCTAATATATTAGATTAAATTAGGTATAACACTTATTCCAACTAGGGTCTGGAACCTATCACAGCTGACATTAGGCAAAAGGTAGGTACACCCTGGACAAGTTACCTGTCCATTACAGAGCCATATAGAGACAAAACACACACACACATCCATTCCTAGTGATAATTTAGTCTCCAGCTGAACTAACTTGTGTGTTTGGTACTGTGGGTGAAAGTTTTTAGTAACAGTAGAGAATTCACACAAACCCAAGGAGAACGTGGAAACTCCACACAGAGATTCCCCAGTCCCCTGGGGAATCAAACTAGGTACCCTCTTGCCTAGTGATGACAACACTAACTACCACACCACCATGCAGCCAAATCAGAACACAATTAAATCCAATCAATTAATTCCCAAATTTGCCCAATTCATACAAAGCCAACCATCCATGCATTTTCTGAACTGCCATCCATGCATTTTCTGAACATGTTTTCCATTTTTACAAAATTTGAATCCCTTTACCCAGATATTTTCAACCCCTGTAATTACGACATGAAATGTTTCTGTGGTTTGTTTGGTACTAGTATAATTAATACAAGTTATTAATACCTTGATGCAAAAATAATAGACAAATCAAGATACAATTATTGAAAAAAAATTGTTTACATTTTGTTATTCTGAAACATCTTTGTTCAACTTGTAACAACAAATGTGCATAATAATTTCAATGTAACTCCCAATACATACACAGTGACTGAAATGTCACTATTATGTTTGTTGAAGCCTCAGGCTGCTTTTAAAGCAAACACAGAACTTGGTTTTGGAACTTTGTTAGCTGGGAAATTAGTAACAAGTTATACAATTGTGTGTCATTCTATTAAAAAAAATAATTGGTCTGTGAGAGGAAGGAATGTCCAGCATAAACTGAAACAACAAAAGTAGTATTTGAATATGTACATTTTAGTACCCCTTAAACTTGTTTCTGCATATCACTCTACCTTTGCTTTTACAGTTTACCTTTTTTGTGTATTAATTGAGTGGACAATATGGGCTTTATTTCTCTTCTGTGTTTATATTTGTGCTTATGCATTTGGAAGACGCTTTTATACAAAGCAACTTAAGAAGAAGACACAATGTTACGGTAATCATCAATCTGACAATAGGCACTATGGAGGAAAAACCCTAGTCAGAGTCAGTGGTGACATTGAAGAGATAGAAGAGATAAGGAAGTGTAGAAGAGATAAGGAAATATAGAAATACTAGTAGAGGGGGTATAGAGGTATGGGTAAGAGTTAGGATAGGAGATGATCTTTGAAGAGGTGGGTCTTTAAGCGTTTCTTGAAGATAGACTTGGTAGATCATTCCACCACCTTGGAACAACACATGAAAACAGTCTGGATTGTCTTAAGCGTGGTGTAGGCACTGCTAGATGCAAATCCATTGATGACCGGAGTGACCAAGTTTTGACATAAGCCTTTGCAAGTGGGTTCAAGTAGATGGGAGCCGTACCCTTAACCCTGTAATGCCAAATGTATCATATTTGATTCATACGGTTTCTGAAATGTTTTGCGTCTGACATCTTTGGCATTATTTAATGGTAAAAACTTTGCTCAAAATCCTATTGTACACAATCAGATATACTTGATAACAGGGGGCAGAAGACTACACGAAAAACAATCTTGACTTATCGCATAGTAAGAAATTATTAATATTGAAAAAATAGTTTTGGTTTTTCTTTTTACATATTTTGTTTAAAGGCCAAATAAAATTTAAAAAAAGGAATTTTCTGTTTTGTTTTATTCTTGGATCGGGCTTTAAAGGGCTAAACACTTTGTAGGCTAGCATCAGACGCTTGAATTTGATGTGAGCAGCCAGGGGTTACCAGTGAAGCTCACTGAACAGAGGGGTGACGTGGGACGTTTTGGGCTGATTGAAGACCAGACGCATCAGTGCGTTATGGATGATTTATAAAAGTTTTATTGTACAGGTTGGGAGACCAGTCAGGAATGCGTTCCAATAGTCAAGGCAAGAACTGCTGTCCATTTCAGTATACAGTTCTGGGTGTGAATCATACACCTATAGCAGTTCCAGGATCCGACCTATGGATCTCCACTCTTCTTTCTGTCAATTATTAGGCAATGATGAGACCCTAATCTCTTCTCCTTCAGTTATGCCATCCATAATCTCAGTCCAAAATGCTTCAGACACATCTATTGAGAGACCTTCTGCATCTATAAAACTAAATTTCAGAGTTTGCCTAAACTAAGGAGTGTGTAATCCTTAAATTGTCTTATCTCCTCAAGAAGATTGCTCCTGTGAAGTTTTATAGTGACACACTTAAAATGAAGCTGTATTGGTGCTTTCTTCACCCCTTGACACTGCAGTGAAGTGTATTGTGCTTGTAGTAGGAGATTCATTATATATGAAGCTTGACTCCTCTCCCTGTCTGTCAACAGTGATGTGGATCCTTCCACAACCCCTCCCCTACTATTTCAACTACAGTCATGTCGAAAAGTAATGAGAATGACACAAATATGATATTTTCACATGATCTGCTGCCCTCTGGTTTTCATGTGTGTATGTCAGATGTTGTCATCACATACAGAAATACAATCAATGCTTGAATTTTGTCAGAATTCCAAGGTTTTTGTTTTTCCACCCATCTCTTGATGATTGACCACAAGTTTTCAATGGGATTAAGATATGGGGAGTTTCCAGGCCATGGACCCAAAATCTCTATGTTTTTTTCCTTAAGCCAGTTAGATATCACCTTTGCTTTATGGCAAGGTGCTCCATCATGCTGGAAAAGGCATTGTTCATCACCAAACTGCTCTTGGACGGTTGGGAGAAGTTGCTCTCGGAGGACATTCTGGTACCATTCTTTAATCATGGCTATGTTTTTAGGCAAGACTGTGAGAGAGACGACTCCCTTGGCTGAGAAGCAACCCCACACATGAATGGTTTCAGGATGCTTTGCAGTTGGCATGAGACAAGACTGGTGGTAGCGCTCACCTCGTCTTCTCCGAACAAGCCATTTTCCAGATGTCCCAAACAACTGGAAAGGGGATTCATCAGAGAAAATGACTTTACCCCAGTCTTCTGCAGTCCACTCCCTGTACCCTCTGCAGAATATCAGTCTGTCCCTGATGTTTTTCCTGGAGAGAAGTGGCTTCTTTGCTGCCCTCCTTGAGACCAGGCCTTGCTCCAGGAGTCTCGGCCTCACAGTGCGTGCAGATACACTCACACCTGCCTGCTGCCATTCCTGAGCCAGCTCTGTACTGCTGGTAGCCCGATCCCGCAGCTAAAACACTTTTAAGAGACGGTCCTGGCACTTGCTGGTCTTTCTTGGGCGCCCTGGAGCCATTTTGGCAACAATGACGTTGAAATGTGTTTTGGGGGATAAAGTTAATTTTCAAGACAAATATTGACTTTGCAATTAATTGCTGTTATGCTGAACACTCTTTTTAACATTCTGGAGTATATGCAAATTGCCGTTATAAAAACTGAAGCAGTAGACTTTGTAAATATTAACATTTGAATCATGCTCAAAACTTTTGGCCATGACTGTACATCTTAGTACTAAACATTGTGGTGCCAGAGGTGCCTTTTTCATCAAGACACACTGCAGTGATGTGTATTCTTCGTGTAGCAGGAGATATGATGACTGACTCATCTCCCTGTCTGTCAAAAATTATGTGCGTCCTTTCAAAACCCTTCCCCTACCAGTTTAACTACATTTTAGCACTACAAATTGTTGTTCTATAGGTGACTTTTTCCTCTGTTTTTTTCTTCTTCAGTAATTCATTTAATTTATTTTCATTTATTGTTGGTAATATTTACTTTCAGCCCCTGTCTGTGCGAGCAAGTAGTGAGTAAACAAACAAGGGGAGTGCATAGGTGACTGTGGATGGAGCTGGGCTGTAAATGGGGGGTCAGGGGGGCTGACAGGTTGTTGCTCCTAGTACCTTTGGGGCTCTGCTCAGTAACCACAGGGGCTCTGTCCCAGGACTCCTCTGCTGTCCTCTGGGTGGAAGTGTGTGAGGGCTGTGTGAGTTCTGTGCTCTAGGGGGCTCTTGATGTCCTGGGTTTTGGGGGGTGGTCTCTGCACCCCTATAGCTGAGCATAACTCATCTATTCATAGCGTAACATATGTTGATCAGTCAACCATGACATCCTTCTGTCTATACTCTCGGGCATGGGCATCACGGGGAGAGCACACTCCTGGTTTGAAGGAGACATAGGGCAACCTTGGCGGAGTCCAACTCTCACCTGAAACGGATCCGACTTACTACCAGCAATGCGAACTAAGCTCTGACTCAGGTCGTACAGGGACCGAACAGCCCGTAACAAAGGGCCCGGTACCCCACACTCCCGGAGCATCCCCCACAGGATACCACGAGGGACACAGTCGAACTTCTCCAAGTCCACAAAACACATGTGTACTGGTTTAGCGAACTCCCATGCACCCTCCAGGACCCCGCTGAGGGTAAAAATTATCTTTCTTTATCAAATCTGAAGGACAGTTTCGCCTTTAATGGATGAATGCAGAGAGAAGATGCCAAAATAAATAGTGAAACGGCAGTGGAGGAAAACTCTACTTTAAATCACGCTGAAAAAATGTTCATAATATCAACACTTCTTTCTGTTCTTAATCTCTTAGTCACGGTTCCAAATTAGAATAAAAAGAATGTTTTTGCAACTGGTTTAAGACACATTAATATTGTAAAAAACAACCATGGTTGTTCTATGCTGTAAATGAAAAATAACAACATTTTAAAAATCTCTTTTGAATTTTTATTCAAAGGATTTCCATAACATTAAAGCGCATGTAAACTGTGTGAACTTACAAAAGGGTTGCATGATCTAATGTGACAGTAACAACAAGGCTCCGCTTGATCTAATACAGAGATATTCAAAACTTTTGAAAGCAATTTCTAATGTCAATCCCCTCTAAACCTAACCCTGTCCCAAAAGGAAAAAAAGCATTAAACACATTAACTCACGCACAAACAGAATTTCACCACTAAGGCATGAAAGAAGAGTTGCCTTGAAAATAAAGCCTTATAATCCCAGCTAATTCTGAAGTTCTCCATATCATTTGGTACTTCACAACTACACTTTCAACTAAACAGGTTGAGTTTATCTGTACACGAGGGCTTCTCCTGATGCTTCTCCCTTTTCATCTGCATCTGATAACATTTACCCTGTGCAAGTCAGACATCATCTAGCGAGCATGTGCTGCCAATTGAGCCAATGTGTTTGGACTTGTAGTAAGGCCTTGTCATGAAAATTGGATCTGCTGTACAGTTGGAATCTGAAACAAAGAACATTCAATTAAAGATCTGAATGAACTCTATGAGTTAACAATCCTTCAAGCACACACTAACACAAAATGTCATTTGACCCAATTCCATTCAACAACATATTGTACTTATTGTCTTATGTCATATAAACAATTAACTTCAATATGCACACCATTAGTTTACAGGACTGCTTGTGTGCCATAACTTTTACCTGTTGATATGAGGTGGTGTACACCATGACATTTTGCTGCTGACCATCTGCTGTGATAATCCCAGCTGGAAGTGGATTTGCTACGAAAAAAAGAAACGGTGGAAGAAAGGTAAAATACAAAAATGGGGACAAATTATAAAACACAACCAATCTAATCAGATACTATTCCACTTACTGAAGCTATCCTCTGTGAGATCCTCACTCAGGCTTTCTCCCACTCCTACTCCGGGCATACCCTTCTCTCCTTTCATTGCCTTCAAATTTCAGAAAGAAATCTAAGTGAAACATAGCACCAAATTCCACACAAGCAAGTAATCTGTTTTTGAATATGGGTGAATCGAATTCATACTCATATCACTTCATATTTAAAAATACAAACAATAATTGAAACTGGGCGATATGATTGTTGTGATTAGCACCGTTGCCTCACAGCAAGAGGGTTACCAGTTTGAATCCTCTAGGGAAAGGGGGCCTTTCTACTTGGAGTTAGCATGTTCTTCCCCTGCAAATGTTAGTTCTCTTCAGGCATTACGGCTTCCTCCCACAGTACAAAAATATGCATGTTAAGCTCATTGGAGACTCCAAATTGCTCTCAAGAGTGAGCGTGTGCATGTGGTTGTTTTTTTTTTTTTTATGTGGCCCTGTGAGGGACCTGTACGCTCTGGAAAGGTTGGCATCCCGACAAATGCATCCTGGGATAGGTCACAGCGTATCCCATCCTTATACTACGAGTAACCAGTATAGAAATTTAATGGATTGATGTTTGAAATTAAATCTAAATTGCAATTAGTTAAAGTGCAACTGCAGACAGTTTAATGCCATGACTTACCTCTCTGAACTTCTGCAAGTACAGCTTTAGTGGATCCACATACATGTCGAAGCCAAGTGTGGACATGGCGAACAGGATATCCTCCCCATTGATGGTCTTCCTCTTCTCCTGATGGCAGCGTTCGCTTGCTTCAGATGTGATGAAACTTATAAACTCGCTTACACACTCTTGCACACACTCTTTGGCATCTTTGGCAATCTGTGGGGTAAAAACCATGATAAAAAAAAAACATACGAGAATTAAACAGGCTTTTAATTTCAGCAAGACACTGCAACATATCTAAACAATAGTGGTTGCAAAATGAAGATCTCTGATCTTTTATTGAAAACTTTCCCCCAATGCATCCACTTGTAAATCTACGCATATACAAACAATGCTTTGGAATTTGGAAACTTTATATAAGCATTTTAGTTAAAAAAAAGAAACTATACACAAAAAATCCATTGCTTTTTGCACAAGTTTCTTCATGACAAAGGACCTAACTGCCTATTTATCAAGGTTGCCTTTCTTCTGATAAATTACTAGTAACTGGTGATTTAAATTATAATGCCACAACATGCAAGCAGGGAAGATACTAAAACAAACAGTGGTAAATCTTCCAAATACATTTTTATTCTAACTTGTTTTAAAAAAAAATAGTGTTAAAAAACATTCAAGTATTGAGAAAAAGCATTTATTAAAAAGAAACAACACTACAATTATTAAATAATTCCTCACAAACCTTTCCAGTTTGAGGTACAGCATTCTTCATGATGCGAGCTACATTGGCAATGGGAAGATAGATATCCTGTTCCCTGTAATTTTCCTTGGCACCGCCGTCTTCATGATCATTCATATTATCTTCTCCATCATCTGACACAAAAAAACAGAAAAATAAAATCCTTACGGTATGAACTAAAAAATACATCACTTATGATAATGGAAACCTTAAACTGAAATGACTTTTTGTTAGTTTACTCCTTACCATCTTGCGGTTGGAGAACATAATGACTCGAAGCCATGTATTCTCCAGTGATACCCAGCTGAGAGGCATCCGTGGTTGAGCTGTCTCCATCCATCTGTAACAAACATATATTACATTTTGTTTAAAAATGTAAAACAATAGCAACATGACCAACAAGTTTCTGTTGACAGGTAAGAATAAATGCTTGTTCTTAACCAGTAAAATTATTTATTCACTAAACTAATCAAAGGCACTTTTTCAGTCTCACGACAGCTGAGAACATTATTATTTCCCTGGCTGTGTCCACATCCTGTCATACAAGTTTCCCATTCAAAGACACTGATTAAGATATTATCTGAGAGTCACGTCTTGAAATTACACATAAAGCATTAGTAAGAGCCATATATCACATTCCTCATAGTAAATATTAAACACACAGTAAACAACACAATAACAGATATTTTGGGGAGTACATCATTTGAATCAAGAAATTTACATGCCTTTTCTTATAACTTTAACTCCTATATTATCCAAGTTTAGTATAAGGTTATTTGTTTCCATGATCAAATATGCACTTAAGCATATGAACAAAGCTACTACAAACTATAAAGTTCCTCTGACATAATCAAACAATAATCAATGCCTACAACCTCTCAATCTGACTTTTTATCCGTTTTAGAATTCATGACGACGGTTGTTTCAGTGTTAAGTGAGAAAATTCCTTGAGATATTACACTGTGAGGAAGCTGTGAATTTGTGGTCAACATTTACACATGGCCATGTATCCGTAAAGTTTAAACGCATATGGTTTAACTTCCCACTGTATGTTTGATCATTTGCTATTACAGCAGAGTCGCTTTTTTCCAGTTTTAATTTATTTACTATCCTGGGTGTTCACCGTGGGGGACACAAGGTCTTTTCCAGCGGTGCACACCGAAGACTACCAAAAGTAACCACCACCTTCAACATGAATTTAAAAATATGGGTTTACGGGTTGACGTATTTTAATTGGGAAGTAATGATGGAATGGAATTTTTAAACAGTTGTTAAATCATGGTCGCCTGATAAAAACAATTATATTAATGTTATGTTTGACCGTATGCAAACTGGCGGTACGTTTTTTAGCTACCGTTAGCCAATGTTAACGACGACTCTGAGCTAGCATAAGCAATTTGACTGTCCAGAATAACACGTAGATTTCAGGAAATTTCAGGAAACAGGTAGTCCTACGGGAGATTACCTTTAGTGGTTAACCTAGTCAAATACATACTGCCACCTGCATAGATTCTCATTTTAAATCCATGGTAACTCGAGTCGGCTTCGGCCTGTTCTTTGTCATGCACAACAGAGCAAGATGTAGCTGGGCCGAAATGTTGAACTGTTAATATTACATTTTAGCCTGAAAGATACTTCCTGATGAGCATCCCTGATTCACTCAGACAACAAATTAAATTCAGACAGAGACGGACATTTCCATTCGAGCTAACGAGAAATCGGTTAGCAATCATTGGCCGGAGCCATGCACAAACCTGCAATGAAGCCCTGGTTGGTTACCTTCCTGAGACGGCTGTTTGGTTGGACAGAAAATGGCTGCGAAGAACCAGTCCCATTGCTGAGCAGTAGCTGCAGTACCGCGTGTGATCACCAGAGGACCGTGCTACCTTGCGTAATCTCTTGATAAATCCCACATCAGGAAATTAAAAATGAAGGCAAAAGACTGTTTTGGGAAGTAATAGCGGTGTAAAGCAAACTCGTTAAATATTACTTATGTTCTATGTTGTAGTCTCAGTGATGTTTTGGTCAATTGGAGTTCAATTATTTCCTACATTTATCGTAGCAATGGAACGAATCTGCTAAAGCGTGATGTCCGGGAAAATAATCTCCCAAACCTTTTAACGTTTGCTAAATTAGTGTTCATCAGCTGTTCTTATAAGCACAATTGTTCTAATAAATCTCGAAATGGCCTCAATTATCAACATTCTTGTAAATATTTTTCCTTTGAATGAACATAAATGGTAAATTACAGGATATTTCTGAAATTGATGTGCAATATTCTAAAGTTTAGGATTCCCCTTAAATGTGACACGTCATCGTTCATGTGGGTCATTTTAAAAGACTCAGCACAGGTCTTGCATCTCACTGAGTTACCCATCAGAAACAACTACCATTAGCTTGAAATCATTGCTACTGCAGCATTTATTTAATCTTAAATTGAACTTGAATTTGTGTTTTTTAGAAAGGAAAAATCTTCATTAAAAAAGATAATTTCATTAATGGAAAGGGTGCACATATTGAATTTCAACATAGAAATGACAAACTAAAGTAATTTGAGTAATTTTTCCTGCTGTGTTTTTTATCGTGACAGAGGTGGCTGGGGTGAAAGTCCAACCTTGTTTAATGTTTGTTGATTCTTCGTTTAACCTTTTGCAGTTTCTAGGATTGTGCGAAACATGGACCCACCAGCACGGCCGTCACTGGGACTTTATGACTATGACTATGATTTTTTGGTTATCGGAGGGGGCTCAGGAGGTCTGGCAGCTGCAATGGTTAGTTTTTTTATGATTTGCTTTGCAAAGAAGAAGCATAGAGCTTTGCTATGAATTTCTAAAATTGATTTCATCTTGTTTTTAAACCACAAATCTTTAGTTTAATGTATGAATGAAGAAAGAATTGCTCAAATAAATCTAAATATATTTAATCATAGTATATATGATACATTTAGACGCTATCCCAAAAAAAACTGAATACGGCAGTGCATACTTCACAGTAGTAGTAAATATATCATACTATGTACCATTCCAAAAATACAAATAAATAGAAAATATTACAGCTAAGGCGCTGTAGCATTTCACATCTATGTAGGTTATCATGAAAAATCTATATATAAAAAAACTCTACATCACAGGCCATCACTAAGGTGTTTCTTCCTTTGACTACTGCAGAAAAAAGTCATCACACAAGTACTTTTCAATTTAACTAGATAAATAATGTTGTAGGCCTAATTATTATTATTATTTTTCATTATTTGTAATTATATTTATCATATGGTCCCCAGGCCTAGTGTTTCAGAGAGCAATAAAAGCACATCAGCATTATAAGAGATAGCTCATATGTTGTGAGGATCAGTAACTACTGTCTAACTGTTAGTAGGCATTATGTCAAATCCTGGTTTCAATATATTTAATGTCTCAAGCACAAACATAAGCATGAAGCTAAGCTTCTACCATTTTCTTTCTGTGTGTTTTACTGCACACGCACTTTGAAAGGATAGGAATCAGCTTTCACTCTGCAAATAGAACCTGGGGTAGTGGCTCAAAGGGGAAAAGTCTTATTGAAAGGTGAAAAACTCAAGAACATAAAATCAGCCCTCATTCAATCAGACCACAAATTCAATTCAGACTGAAATAGACATTTCCATTCAAGCAAACGAGAAATTTGTAGCAGTGATTGGCCAGGGCCATGCACAAACCTACAATGAAGCCCTGGTTACCTTCCTGAGATGGCTATGTGGTAGGACAGAAAACGGCAGTGAAATAACAAGTCACAGTGCTTTGCAGCGGCTGCAGTACCGCATGTGGTCACCAGAGGACCGTGCTACCTTGTAAATAGCCTCTAGCTTTTGGCTAATAAGTACAACGGATATACTGTATATTCCTACTCACACAAGGGCTGTAGTCTAAGAGTCATTATTTTCTATCTTTCTAGCACCAATGATTTATACTATTTTCACCACTCCACTGTGGATTTGTTTAGCTGTTTATCTACCACTTGAAATCAACTGCAGCAAGTTATTCTCTTAAGTGATCACACAAATAAGCTTTGCTGGTGAGAGATCAGATATGTAATTATTCTACTTTCCATTGATATATGTCACCTCAGGAAGCTGCAGCGTTGAGCAAAAAAGTGCTTGTTCTTGACTTCATGGCCCCTTCTCCAAGAGGGACAAAGAAGGGTGAGTGTTTTCTTGGAGTCAAACGTTTTGTGATTATGAATTATCTATTTTCTTTTTTTTTAATTATCATTTATTTCCATCTCTCTTACTCACCTCTTGTCACTTCAAGAACTTGGAGGTTCAAGTTTCAGTTTGGACAGAGTCAGGAAATTTCTGCAGCAGACATCACTGCTGGGTAAAGCTATCGAAGACTCTCAAAAGTTTGGCTGGAAGTTTAAAGAAGAGGGTGAGTTTATTGTATTTTAGTAATTGTTTAAGTTAACTAAGTGACTTAAGTAAACTTTAGTCACTGTTTAAGTAAACTATATGATAGCAATAGTAATATCAGATAATAAACACTCAATCTAAAATCAAAATAAATTCTACTTAGGCAACTGAAAACTGAATAAAATCAAATACTTGCTAGTTTCTTTGTTACGTAGTTAATATAGCAACACAATTTTTGTTGCTTTGTTTCAGTGTTACATGGCTGGAGTGAATTGGTCCAGGCTATTCAGGATCAGGTCAAATCTGGAATTTCAGAGTTAAAAAGGGAGCTGAAGAGCTGTGGAGTCCATTACCTCCAAGCCCGTGGTGAGATCGTGGCGCCTCACACAGTAGAGGTAAACTTCTAAAGTCCTGATTGAAATGAACACTTCAAGCCTGATACTTTGTGTGTATATCAGAATCAGAATCAGGTTTATTGCGGAAGTATTTTTACATTCAAGGAATTTGACATGGTTCTGTTGCAGAACATGCAACACATACCTAGAGTTAAGAAAAATAAAAAAATAAAACATGTAAACAGTGTAGTAGCATTGATAAATATAAGTCTAACGATACATGGACAGTAACGTGGATGTCTCTACCCTGAAGAAGCCTCAAAGCCTATATACACTCACACACACACACACACAGACATACACACACATTTATCTATCTATATATATATATATATAGATAGATAAAGTTTGTATATATATGTGTTTATATATATATATATGATTTATATATATACAATATATATATATACTGTATATATATGCAAACATATATAACATCAACCCCAGAGTAGGCCATTGTGAGACAATCACACTTAAATGCACATTGTACAGTTTGTGTCGTTGCCTCTCCTTGAGAGCGGGTGGCACTCTTCCCCATGTCACAGTCCAGCTTTATCCCCTTGGAAAAGAGGAAAGATGCCACCTGTCCCTCCATGGCTCACCAGCCAGACCAGACCCAGCCACCGTGACGGTATAAGAACAGGGCTTGACTCTTTGTCTGATGATGATTACATCAGTCATCCTGGTATGTTGCTTCAAGTCTGCCCCTGGATTCTCCAGAACAGCAATCTGTTTGTCCTGTTCCTCTTAAGAACCTGCAAGGTCTTTACCTCTTCTACCAAGTACAGAATGGACTTCTACTAGAGTCGGATAGCCGAGGCTTCCACAAAAAAAAACAGCGATTTACTGATTTGATCAAAATCCTCCATCACTGGGTCCGTCTTTTCTTGCCATATTGGCAAACAGGAAGCAGCTTCAGATTCTTCAGATGCTGTAGTTTGTTTGTTTAGTTGGGTGTTATGGAAAAATATCAGTTTAGATACAAGTGTAACATCGAACACAATTATTGACTGCAAAGCATGCTGCAGTCAATGTAAGTAATAAAAGTATTATAATTTCTTTATTCAGGTTACAGATATGAATGGGAGAAAGAGGAATTTCAAAGCAGAGACCTTGGTCATTGCTACAGGAGATAAACCTCATTATTTGGATATACCTGGGGTCATCGAGTACTGCATAACCAGGTCACAGAATTGTAATAATTTAAAGAGCTGTTTTTTCCCAAAAATTTAGTAAAACATCTCAAGTTTTTTTTCCTCTCCCACATCCAGTGAGGATCTTCTCTCCCAGCGTCACCCCCCAGGTCGAACCCTAGTGGTAGGCGGGTCTGCTGAAGGGTTGGAATGTGCTGGCTTTCTCTTTGGACTTGGAATGATGGTCACTGTCATGTTGCAACCTGGCCTTCTCCCAGGGTGTGATAGGAAAATGGCAGCAAAGATAGAGAACCACATGATTGTTAGTGGAGTGAATATCCTTCATCAGTGTTCGCTCAGTAAGGTAAGTAAGTTACACACAATATTAGCAACAGTTCAGTGTTTCTTTAAAAATACAGAGCAAACAATTTTGGAATGTTTCTTTTTGTCTGTGTTAGGTGGAGCAGATTGAGGATGTCCTGTCAGGTAAATCAACTCCATTTATTTTTTATCACAATATTGTAGTTAGTTTACATTAAGTTGAAACTCATCTTATTAAAAAAAAAAGCAAAGCAACTGATGTCAATTTGAATTTGACCTCTCATACAGAAGAAAAATATCCATAGTGATGCTTTTTAAGGGATGTTTGAGGTTGTGAAGCCCATTTGACTATTAAAAATAGTTGTATTCATAAACTCCTTAGTTTAGGGTAACAATGGTCTCATTCTGGAGGTCTCCAGGCTGACTTATTACCCATCATCTATTCCTACCTGCTATAGACTGTTCAGTTTTTTGGGCAACCAAGCTTATTAATGATGCAAAGTTTCCTGTGATTGCTTAATATTTTGTGCTGAATATTTGACAATGCTTAGATCAGAGTTTAAAAAACTAAACAAACCCATGTGTTTAATTCACCTGCTAGTCTTTGATGAGTTAGCAGTCCTGACCAACATATTATTGGGGCCATCAGGTGGGAACCTCTTTTTTGATCACTTGTTTTCCAGGGTCACTCCCATAATGCATCCCAACAATGCATCACTGCTCCTCACACCCCAACAACTGTCTTCTTCCACCTAAAGCAGAACTGGGGTCGGGATAAAAACCCTGGTTCGAGTAAGGGGTTGAAATTGATTAAGTAAATATGAGTACAAAGGGGATACAGAGCCTAGTTCTGGTAGGGGTTGATGAAGGTATACACTAGAGGGTCCAGGAGGTGGAGACAGAACAAGTAACACTAGCAGATTCTGCAAACAAAATCACCCAAATAGCAAACAATAAGTCTAAGCAACAATCAAACTCAATCATTGTATGTATACAAATAATCCTACAAACAAAGGTTTTGTAAGTTCTACCTGATTTTGTATCAAACAACAGAGATTTATTTTTCTGATATCATCAAAAACAGTGGAAACAACTCTCTTGTCCTGAGTGCTACAGTCAACAAATTAACAATCCCTCCAGTCTTACTGCCTTTAAAAGGATTTTCTACATCTAAATGTTAAGAATTTGAATTATTCTTTGACGAAAAAGTTCAAGGCATTAAAAATGCAATTATCACCCCAACACAATTAACTACTCTGCCCTCAGGTAGACATCTAGTGCTGACAGAATTTACACCTGTCACTGATAAAACAGTTGATTAATTATCTGCAGCCATCGTTCTGTTTGTGCAATCCATCAACATGCCTGGATAACTTACCCACTAGATTCCTAAAGTCTGCGCTGAGCAATTTTTTTACCAAAATTTACTTATCTACTCAACATGTCTCAGTTTGGAACATTTCCTGCAGTCATTAAGCCTTTTTTAAGGCATAGTACTGAACAAGTACCAAAACCATATCAAACCTCCCATTTTTAGAGAAAGTCAGAGAAAAAGTTATATATCAACAGCTTGCTGACTTTTTCCTGTCACCAGTCAGGCTTTAGGCCCCACCACAGCACTGAGACAGCTATGGTCAAGGTGACTAACAAGATCCGCCAGAAAACATATGCAGCCAAAGTTTTGTTCTTAGGTCTGCTGGACCTGAACACCACCTTTGATACAGTGGACAATGTGATTTTAGTACAGAGGTTAGAATACCGGGTGGGTATATCTGGTACAGCTTTAAACTGGTTCAAAACCTACCGTGAGTACAGGTGTTACTTTTTTTAAATTGGGAGCTGTGTCTCAGACTGAATGTGTCTGAACTGTATGGTTTCCCAGGGGTCAATCCTGGGATCCCTTTTGTTACTTGCAACAAATCAGGTACATCCTACTTTCACCTGTCAAATCTTAACTTCCCATGTTCGCTGCACTGCTCCAGCCCCTAAGTCTACATACCATAGTATCCTCTGACTGCCTTTTCTCCATATAGCGTATTGTTTAATTTTCTCTTTTTCTTGAATGAACAGAATTGCCACTCGGTACGCCTTAGTCCCTCTTAAATGAATCTACCTTTGTTTATCTTCAATGCCTGCAGCTAAGCTAATAAATTCTTGACTATGTCGCTACATACACCGGCCATGTGATATACATCCGAACACTCTTTCTCTTTTTGGAATAAGAATGCCTCCTGCTGTATGCCTTGCTCTAGCAATAAACTATTTCTCCCAAACTATTCTATTCAAGTAACAAGTCAGTTTAACTGACTTGTTACTTGTGAATTTTAGGTGCAAAAAATCTTTAATACATTTGAATGAAGTCAGTCAATGTATTACCTTTAGAAAGGACAGTCCAATAATATTATTTTTATGTTTATGCATTTAGAAGATGTTTTTATTGTACAGAGTAAATGCCTGCCCCGTGTTAGGGTCGAACCCACGACCTTCAGATAAAGTTTTTTTTTTTTTTTCAAAGATTTTGTTGGCTCTAGTGGCCTTTAATGACAGTAGCTTGACAGGAAATGGGGCAGAGATATAGAGGGGGAGACCTGCGGGAAAGGGCCATGGGTCAGAATCGAACCCAGGCAGCCCGCTTATGAGGAGAGGCTCCACACATGGTCCGCCCGCTGTAACCATTAGGCTATGCTGCAGCGTAATCATGTTTTCACCCCATTGATTGAAATTAGCATCTTCTAATCTTTGTTACAGCAACCTTGGTCTTAAAAATCTCCAAAGCTTTTGTATTGTAAGTGTCATTCACTCCAGGTGAACTGTTTTCATTTATTTAAACTCCTCTTTGACATTAGGAAACATAAGATGACAAAGAACAAAAAAATTGACATAGTATGACTAATATGACCCAGAAACACTCAAATTCAGTTCACCTCTAAGTTATTACTTACGTGAAATAGCTTTTAAAAAAAGTAAAGCAGTCTCAGAAAACCACATTTTTGTAAATGATGAAAAATAGCACGGTGAATTAAATCCACCATGGTATGTACAGTATTTAATTATTTTTTAAAATGTACACTCTCATCTTTCACTAAATCTGAAGAGACGTCTGGCGATATAACAAGTTATATAACAAGTTCCACAATGCCTTTCAATGTCACCTGCCCTTCAGGCTCATCCTCAGTTGTTTCGTTCCACTGATCTTCGTGTAGCGGAGTTATCTGGAACTGGACACCACACCAATGAGTGGATTTTGAATCTGACAGAGCCCTCTGAACAGACACTGCATGTTATTATTTTGTTTTTCAATAAAATACTCTCTTCTGACCTCTTGAAACTGATACTCTGGCCATTCCCCAAGACAAAACCATAAATGTAGGATGCTGTGAAACTTTCAACAAAACTTGCAACTAATTGGGCCCATAAATTATTAGCCACCTCACTGATCACAGTTCCTTTTATGACCTTTCCCAAACCTGAGATAAAGATCTGGTTATAATCGCTCCAAAACTCTGGGAAACCCCAACTCTCCTGTGTCTCTTGAACTCCTGTGTCTCTTGAACAGCTACATTAATGGCTGTCATTCCTGATCATACTGTGGTGGAATTTTTCCCAACACTCAATACACAGCTGTGATCATGTGTTTCTTTCAGGATGTCCCAAGAAAAAAACGAACCTCAGAGTTGTCAATGTAAAGAATAATGCACTGTCTGTCCTCCTCTCCTGAAAAAAATGATTATTCTGATAGTAAGATCCATTGTGAAATGTCTGTCAATAAGCCTGAACTGACTTATATAACACCCACAGTAAGGACTTCTGTATTAAGACATACTAGAAAGATTTAGGCTCTTTTTTTGTCAAGTACAATTCTGGTTAAAAAATCTTTGAAAAACGTAAACTCAACCCAATCTCTGACTGTCAAAGACTCAGAAGAATCCAATGTACAGACAGAGTTTATTACAGGAGATGGAGGTACACACAAACATTCAAAATCCAAAAAGGATAATCCAAAGACAAGGTGAAGGTCAAAACTCTAGATATAACGGAAAAAAAACACCTGAACCAAGAACTACAAACTGCTATGCAATGCATGGCCTACCAGAACCCCCCTTCAACTATTGTGAGTTAAGTATGCTGACAACTCCCTTGTCTGCTCTGCCACTGCTCTCTCTTCCCTTCAGTGTAATTATGCGTATCTATCACCAGTGGTCCCATCCCATCCATCGATCCATCCATCCATTGTCCACCGCTTATTCGAAGTCGGGTCGCGGGGGCAGCAGCCGGAGCAGGGAAACCCAGGCTTCCCTCTCCCCGGCCACTTCAGCCAGCTCCTCCGGGGGGATCCCGAGGCGTTCCCAGGCCAGCCGGGACACATAGTCCCTCCAGCGGGTCCTGGGTCTTCCTCTGGGCCTTCTCCCGGTGGGACGAGCCCGGAACACCTCCCCAGGGAGGTGGCCAGGAGGCATCCTGATCAGATGCCCGAGCCACCTCAACTGGCTCCTCTCCACGTGGAGGAGCAGCGGCTCTACTCTGAGCCCCTCCCGGATGGCCGAGCTTCTCACCCTATCTCTAAGGGAGAGCCCAGCCACCCTGCGGAGGAAACTCATTTCGGCCGCTTGTATCCGCGATCTCGTTCTTTCAGTCACTACCCAAAGTTCGTGACCGTAGACGAGGGTGGGAACGTAGATCGACCGATAAATTGAGAGCTTCGCTTTTAGGCTCAGCTCTCTCTTCAGCACGACAGACCGGTACGGTCAACAGCACCCCATCCCCACTGTAAACAGTGTTGGTGGGGCACTGCTTCCCCCCCCTGAGACGCCGGATGGTGGACCAGAATCGCCTCGAGGCCGTACGGAAGTCTTTTTCCATGGCCTCCCCAAACTCCTCCCAAGCCCGAGTTTTTGCCTCGGCGACCACCCGAGCCACATGTCGCTTGGACTGCCGGTACCCATCGGCCGCCTCCGGAGTCCCACAGGCCAAAAAGGCCCGATAGGACTCCTTGTTCAGCCTGACGGCATCCCTCACCGCCGGTGTCCACCAGCGGGTTCGAGGGCTGCCGCCACGACAGGCACCGACAGCCCTGCGACCGCAGCTCCGAGAGGCCGCGTCATTGATGGAGGCGCGGAACACGGCCCATTCGGGCTCAATGTCCCCCGCCTCCCTCGGAACGTGCTTGAAGCTCTCCCGGAGGTGGGAGTTAAAGCTCCGCCTAACAGGGGACTCCGCCAGGCGGTCCCAGCAGACCTTCACAACAGACCCTCACAACACGTTTGGGCCTCCCGGGTCTCACCGGCATCCTCCCCCACCATCGGAGCCAACTCACCACCAGGTAGTGGTCAGTGGAAAGCTCCCAGTGGTCCCATCCCAAGAGGAGATTTGTTATCTGTGTGTCTCAGCCTTCATCCATTGCTGCCACAGAACATATCTCCAAGCTTGCTCCACACTCCTTCATTCTGTGACTCACTATGCTACCACTGCCAAACGCTGCCTTACAATTGCACCTACCTACCCACCTCACAGAGGGAGTCCAAAGAGATGGTACATTCATTTAACCTTTCAGAATACCAAGAGTGTCATTAATTCAGTGGCAGTCCAGTTGAAGCTCATGCATTACATGAGTGTTTTTCCTACCTTCCATGTCTCCAAGATTAAATCAGTTGAAAACAGTTCCTTGGTCCCTGCAGCACCACCAGCTCCCCATACACATATGGTCAATGGTGGTCCAGTTTATGCAGTGTATTACTTGATTGACTCTTGTCAGCAGGGTAGAGGTTTCCAGTACTTTATGAACTGTGACGGTTATGGTCTTGAACAGAGATCCTGGGTTCCTGCTAGCCATATTGTGGACCCCGCATTTATGGCCAGCTGTCACCAGTATGGAAGTAAATATGTGCCATCAGAATTTGAATAAAAAATAACTCCGAAATTTGAATGTTGTATATTAGTGCTTACTTTTTCAGTATTAAAATAAATTCAGAATATATTTTTAACCTAAAAAAAATTCAATGTCATTATTTGTACATTAAAAAAAAAATTCAGTGTAATTTTTTTTACATGGTTGCAATTTTCAGTTATTAAAAAAATTCACATTCCTATTTCAAAGTGATCAAATTTTCAGTATACATATTTTTCACAGTTTAAATTTTCAGGGTTAAAAAATTCTGCATATAAAAAATTCAATTTTTCAAAATTCTAATGCATTATTTTCGTTGTCCTCCAATTCAACTTGCTCAAATTCGCTGTCTCAAATTCAGCGTCTAAAAATTCGCTGTAAAAATGGCCAATGTTACTTCGTGTCACAGACATTACCAATGGATGTCCGATTCCAACATCCACCTAATCACGTGACCCAAACCAGTGTTTTAAATCAGGCTTTAAGATAATGTATCAAACTTCATGCGCAAAATAAAATATACTACAGAAATATGAAAGCATTAAACTCACCGTTGGGTTTGAGTTCGCCTCCATGGGTGATACTGGTACTTCTTCAATATGACGGTTGTGTCACGTGATTAGGTGGATGTTGGAATCGGACATCCATTGCTAATGTCTGTGACACGAAGTAACATTGGCCATTTTTACAGCGAATTTTTAGACGCTGAATTTGAGACAGCGAATTTGAGCAAGTTGAATTGGAGGACAACGAAAATATTGCATTTGAATTTTGAAAAGTTGAATTTTTTATATGCAGAATTTTTTAACACTGAAAATTTAAACTGTGAAAAATATGTATATTGAAAATTTGATCACTTTGAAATAGGAATGTGAATTTTTTTAATAACTGAAAATTGCAACCATGTAAAAAAAATTACACTGATTTTTTTTTTAATGTACAAATAATGACATTGAATTTCTTTTAGGTTAAAAATATATTCTGAATTTATTTTAATACTGAAAAAGTAAGCACTAATATACAACATTCAAATTTCAGAGGTATTTTTTATTCAAATTCTGATGGCACATATTTACTTCCATACACCAGCGGCATCCCAAATAGCCAGCCAATAAGTCTGCCCGTCAGGAGACCCGCTTCTTGCCATTTTAACTCCTTTAACTCAGAATATATCATTTATTTTTTGGGGAAATATTCCGGTTGTAGATTTGCTGGTACACAGATCTCTCTGGTTGCATGTCTTGTTTCAGTTAAGTTTTTAGACAGATAGCTTCAAATCTGAGTATAAAATACTCTTTACGGTATATGGAGTATTTAGTAAGGGTAGCTTCTTTTGGGGCAAAGGAAGGTGTATTGGTTTGTAGAATAGGTCTGTCCTATTTTCCTATAGGTCAATAGGTCTGTACAATATTGCCAATACCATTTTTTTTTTAAAATGACGAATAAGAGCTGACATTGTCAGGAATCTCCTACATCCTAATTTGTGGTACAAAGCATTGCTTAATGGCACTCCCTAGTTTTATCTTATTTCAGCTAAATTCATCACTGCTACCGGGAATTCTCACTAAAGCACCATATACAAAGTAATGGTTTAACATAACAAACAAAATGCACTATTTTCCATTTTCTATAGTTTTTTATCAAGTGTGTTTGAAGTGTATTTTTTATTATTTCTAAATATTTTTACAATTAAATTGTTGCAGTGGTTATTTAAAAGCAATTCAAACTGAATGACATAACATGTCTATTATTTTTTACAAGGGGATCCTGTAACTACATCACAACAGCTTAATCAGAAGAAAAATCGAGTTACTATGATATGTGAGGATGGTCAAACTAAACAGGATAACTTCGACACAGTATGTCATTGTCTTTTTTTTTTCCTATAAGATTTGGATGGGTATAGCAACAAGAGCCTTACACTTACAGTATTGTGGTCATTGTGTTCAGGTTCTGCTTGCTGTTGCAAGGAAACCATGTACATTTGACATCGGCCTGGAGTGTGTCGGGGTGCAGTGGGACCAAAAGTATGTTTAATTTATTTGTATGTACCTTGGTCCAGGTTATGCACGGCAAATTTGGTTTGACATGTGTGTTTTTATGTCAACAAGAACTGGTCAAATCCCGGTGAATGAAAGGGATCAGACCAGTGTAGATTACATTTATGCCATTGGATCAGTACAGCAAGGACGCCTTTCCACCCCAGGTCTGTCACGTCAAACTGGAAAATTGCTGGCTCAAAGACTCTACGGAGGAGTGAACATATTGGTACATAGTTTTTAACGTTTGTCCTATTTTTGGGGTATGCATTTGATATTGTACATCTTTTTTTGTGTGAGTTGTTACAATGAAGTCACTGAAAATTATAATATGTGAAATTGGTTTACGTTTATGCTTCATTTGTTAAATTTGCAGTGTGATTACATAAATGTACCGACTGTTGTGCTCACCCCACTGGAATATGCTGCATGTGGTCTGTCTGAGGAGAAAGCTAATCTACATTTTGGGGAGAAAAGTGTTGAGGTACGCAAAACCACACTATCAGTCAAGCAAACAGATGTTCCGAATTTCCCTAAATAAATTAATATGGGAATGTTTTCCCTGTTTGCAGGTATATCACAGTTACTACTGGCCCATGGAGTGGACTCTTCCTTGCAGGAACAAAAATTCTTGCTATGTCAAAGTCATCTGTCATATTCCTGATCATGTATGCATCCTTTGTATATTTACATATCTTAATTCATTTATTATGTTGGACTACGCAATGGATGATGGCAACCCAACAGAAAAATATGATTAGATCTGCTGGACTCATAGTGCAAAGCATCTTTTTGCAGATTGATTTAGTATTGTGAGAGTTTTTCATCAAAAGTTTATTATATTATGCCTAAGAATGTGACTGAATGTCACAACAGAGTTAAATGACATGAAATTCATGTCCAAACCATTTAAGCATGACTATCCTCATTTAGAGGTGCCACCGCATTCTGGTCATTTGTTGAGGTCATAGAGGTTTTACAATATAGGCATGTCTGGTCTTCAGTCAGACCAATCAAAAGATCCCACGATTCTAACAAAATTCCACTCACTACTGTCAGCATTCTCTTTAAGTGTCATTGACTAAAAAAGGCTTTCGACACTGATAAGGTTCACAGTAAAACTTATACCCGTAAAGTATTTTGCATCCACAAAACTACTTAACCCTCCTCCTCTGCAGCCTGCAACCAATCCAATGGCACTTTAACCTTATCTTTCACTACACAATTAACCACAGTAGTCATTTTCTTCATTCACCCCTCTCCCTGAGAGCAGTGTGTCTAAACTTCTCACATGTAGCCATCCTACTACACACCTGCAAGACTGTGTTCCTACAAATGTATCCCCAACTATAGCTCATACCACAACTGCTGCATACCACATGTGATTATTGCTTTAGTGACATCAGGCACATTTCCTTCCACATACAAGCAAGCTCGGGTCACACTACAGCTCAAGAAACTGAATTTCTTTCTCTTGCTCTATCAAAGGCAGCTAGAAACCTGGGTGTCATGATTGATTACCAGCCGATATTTAAAAATCATTGTTGCCTCCGTTGGTCAATCATGTCGCTTCACATTACTAAACATTAGAAACATCCGGCTGTACCTAACCCAACATGCAACCCAGCTCCTGGTGCATTCTATGATTCTCCTGCCTTGAGTATTGCAATGCTATCCTGATTGGTCTCCCAGCTTGTACTGGAAAAGCCTCTACAAATGATCCATAACGTGGCGGTGTGTTTGGTCTTAAATCAGCCCAAAAAATCCCAAGTCACCCCTATATTTATTGAGCTATCTCTACACTGTCACCACTGTTGCCACCAACAGAATCTGACTGGTGATTTTCTTCTATGTAGCTTATTTTGGTGGTGATCCCAACGGTAATGTTGTATCTGCATTGTAAGTTGCTTTGAATAAAAACATCTGCTTAATGTATAAACATAGTAGTGTGCTATGCAATGCTTTATACGTAAAACAAGCATTGGCTTGCACGTTAATAAGCCACTTACACTTTTGACAGTCTTGGCAAAAATTCTTTCAGGAAAGTGATGTGATACTTTAATCGTACTGGTACTTCATGTAACAAATTGATCACTTGGGTTTTTGTGCAGATATGTCATTTCACATTGAAGTCTTTTTCTTATCCAGACTTCTAAACTACAGCTCCACCAAAATATGACCCTCATCACTCACATTCAGATGTTAGGTGTATCAAACTTATGAGCACAATAAACTCTAGATTAGCCATGCTAACCCTGAAAACTAAACTCTGCTGTGTTTCAACAGGAGCGGGTGGTTGGTCTCCATATCATGGGACCTAATGCTGGAGATGTCCTCCAAGGTTTTGTTACAGCAATGAAATGTGGCCTCACAAAGCAACAGCTAGATTCCACTGTGGGAATATACCCCGGATTTGCCCAGGTTAGACTTAATTGTGTTTCCTGGAAAGGTTTTATACTCACATGGGTTGCATGAAAACAGCAAGAGGGTTCTGGGTTCTGAGTCCCAGGAACTTTCTGCATGTTCTCCCTGTGTTTGTGTGGGTTCTCTCCAGGTTCTCCAGCTTCCTCCCACAGTCCAAAAACCTGCATGTTAGGTTGATTGGACATTCAAAATTGCCCTTAGGTGTGAGTTAAGTGTGCTTGGTTGTTTGTCGTTGTCTGTCTTTGTATGGCCCTACGATGGACTGGCGGGCCGTCCAGGGTGTACCCCGCCTCTCGCCCATTGACCACTGGTTCTCCCCGTGACCCAATTAGGGAATAAGTGGTAATGATAATGGATGGATGGATGTTAAAAATGTCACTCGTTGAATACAATGAATGACTGGAGAATGTTCACACTTAAAGTGAGATTTGAGGCATCTTGAAGCTCACTCATTTGGTTTTACTCTCTCTCAGTAATTATTCTCATGAACATTAAATTATTTTTGAGAGACAACAAAATGATCTAACTATATCAGTGAAAAGATACTCTTACTTGCTTAACAGACTAATTTCTCTGTAGATTAATAAAATAGTGTATCTCAGTCCTGGTCATGGGACACTTGCAATACATGTTTTCATGTTTTTGTCCTCCAACATATAATTTAAATTAATGGATAAGATTCAACTATGTAACATGAATGAAAAGTATAACATTCAAATTTTGAGTTTTCTCTTTTACCTTGGCTTATGATTAAAACATGAGTTCTGATGTCTTTTTAAATCACTTGAGTATTTTGTTTATTTAATTCTACTTTAACCAGGTTTGATATAAATGGGCCTACCACCCATACAATTAGATTTATTAACTGTAGCAAAGCTTAAATGAGAAGTGTCACAACTGAGTTTGACACCACAACTGAAAGAGCTTAGTTTGTTAGGTAGCATTACGAAGCATTGACAATGAAAGACTGCAATTTTTTATATTTTTTTCATTCAAAATGTTTCAGTTAATATTTGATGCTGAGATGCTGTTATCTCTGCCCTGTAGGTCCTCACCTCCTTGAACCAAACCCAACGTATGACTGATGCTTTGATGCTGAAGGGAAGCTGCTGAGGCTAGTTGCCTGCTGTCAGCCATTGCTACATATAGCAATTGTACAAGACAACGAGGAGGTGCTCAAGTGGTCAAGGAAGTCAGCCATCAACTATACAATGATGTCCTCACCTAAACCCTGGAAGGCAGGTGGGTGAGGACTGATGCAATGCTGACAGACTTTTCCCCCCGTTTTTGATGTTTTAAATGTTTTCAAGGCTTAATTGCTTACTTTTTTAGCATAATTCTAAATATACTGTTCTATTGATTCGTTCTCAAAGCAATTCATAAGCTCTTCAAATGTGCCAATTATCAACATATGATCTTCAGCCCATCAAGATATGGACTCTGAAGTATTAATATCATGAAAAGCATGAATTTCCATTGCCAAAAAGCTTTCAAGTTCAACATAATAATGGAATATTCACCCTGATGACACTTTGTAAACCAGGAAGTTAAAGACGAAAAAGTTTAGTGAGCTCACTAATTTATTTTACTTCATTCTATATATCAAGACTTTCATTCCAGATATTTAAGGTTCATTTGTAGGATTGAATATGCTGAATCAAAGTCTGAATATATAGAATGAAAGTCATCAAGAAATTATTGGTAAAATGCAGTGGCGGCTGGTGAAAAAAAATCTTGGTGGGGCTGGTGTGCCAATAGATTTCCCTGCCTAACCCAGTATGCATTCAAGTTAAAAGTCGTAAAATTACTACAATTCCACAATAATGATTTAATTCCCTTATCAGAATCAGCAGTTTACATATACAGTTAACCATTTGAAGCTATATTAAGTATTATTTTGGAATGGAACAGTATGAAATACAACACTCAATTTTACTATTTTTCACCAAACACACAAAGTAGGCACACAGGTGGTTAGCTTAACACGGTTAGCTTAACACAGTTTTCCATATGAACTCGTGATATTTCATGTTTCTTAGTTGTTCAGAGAGGTGTTTTAAGTCTGTCTGTCCACACTGTGTCCACGTCAAATCACTCCAGTCACTTTTAAAAAGGATGCGGGAAAAACATAACAGTGCTTTGGCGTCCCACCGGCTGTCAGCCAGGACTTACGCTGGAACCAGCTGCGGTTAAAAGGCCGGCTGTGGGACTTAGCTTTTTCATTGGTTCGCTGCGTTAAATTTATTTCGGACTTGTCAGGTCCTAGCTCCTTTATGTTTAATTTTTCCACCATTGTCCTTCTCACGTAAGGAGATCTCAGTAAAGATCTCACTGAATTGTGTGAAAGCTGCTCTTCAACTGTCGTCGCCGTCATCTCTACGTCACAGCCTGACTGACCACTAGCTATACGTCTATGGCTTTGGGGCGCCAGCTCCCGGCGCCCCAAAGCCAATAATTTCGGCGATGCTGATTGGCCAAATATTTATTAATTTTCCCTAGCAACATTTTTCAATTGGTTATTTCGCTGCACTTCTGGGGCGCTTGTGGCTAGCGCCCCAGAAGAGAAACGATACGATCTGTGGGTGGAAATGCACTGTTGAATGAGAGTCAGTTGGTGGAAATGTTGTTTTAATAATTCATATTACATGTAGCCACATATTATTAAGTAAAACTGACATTGATAATACTTTAAAAATAAATATATATATTATAACTTTCCCCCTCGACATCTAGGGGGGGCGGCGCCCCAGCGCCCCCTATGGGCCGGCCGCCACTGGTAAAATGATCCATGGTCCTAAACAGAAAAGGAAAGCCCAGAGACATTGCGTTTTTATACTATCATGAAGTTGTCACCATATTAAATATTTTCCAGAGGTTGTAAGGAAGGAAACAGACCATAATATGTCATCTGACCAGACAGTTTATCATCATTGAGCATTATTTTAAATATAGTCTCGTGTATTCGAAAATAAAGACCTCGATTCACAGATCACCCTGGCAGTGAACCTGACCAAGTAGTTGAAGGGAAGTTTCCCTTCTCACTCCTTTCTTATTTCGGGTAGGCATGTTGTCATTTCCCACTGAGTGGCAGTTAAATCTCAGTTTTGTGGTGAATAGCTACAACTACCAGAATAGAGATTATATGATTTTTCTCCTGATTTAAAAATAAAATTCTCACTTTCGGCCGCCACAGATAACAGGTAGCGTGAAATGACAACGTGCGTATGTGAGATAAGGCAGGTCAAGTTTAGCTTAGGGTTCTTTTCTTTGAGTACTTCGTTTGATGGGTACTTAAAAGATTGTAACAGTTCTTGGGCAGATGATGTTTCAAAACCACATGAATACACACCTACAGACAAGTGTAAATGTTTTGAACCTAATACCCTTACATTTTCAAGGCCAGTCAGACTTTCATTTAATATATGCTGACTTTTGAATATATATATATATATATATATATATTTAGAGAAAGAGAGAGAGAGATTCATACGTATACATGACTTTGGTTTATGCTCTTGAGCTTAGTTTCATGTAATCAATGAGCAGAGGCCCATAGAATTAAACAAATTATATTTTTGTGTTTAGTTTTTCTTTGTCTTGAAATAATAAAAAAAGAGAACAAATGCAAAAAAACGAGAATTCTTGAGAAATGGTTTACTTTCATACTTCCATCATCAAAGCCTCTGCTCTGAAATAACTACCCAATGGTCAAAATGGTGATTAAGAAATAAAATGTAATTCAAATAGTATCCTAAACCATTGCAGCTGCACAATGTATTTAAATAAAAACAATATTGAATTTTCTGCAGGATGAGTTCTTTCCACCTCACAATATATTGTAAGTTACATTTAATGCGCAACTCAAATCCCTGTATTTTAAAGTTTTTACTATTAAGCATTGTGTTAGGATTTTCCTTAACAGCCCTACTGGTCTAACGAGGTGTACTGTGACCAGTTGGTGCTTAGAAGCTTTACACTATTTAACCATTAGATGGCACTAAATCTAGCATACTGAAAAGGCAATGTGAAATCAATCAAGCGTTTTTAGATTATTTCAATAAACTGTTATTGTAGATTCAACCAGTTATTATATCGTGATTTAAAAATGAGTATGTCGCAATAAATAAATGGATTTGGACAATCTGACAAAAAATCTTTAATTAAGGAGGATATATTGAAAGCTGATCAAATAAAATAAAATGGCACGCTTTCACAGGAAAAACACTGTTGAGCTGTGCTATACCTACTACTAGGCTAATCTTCAACTACGACACTACTTCTTTTAGAAATCAAATTAATCGATTTTTCCCCCCTAGGCTGCTATTACTGTCACGCCTGGGGGAATGTCTCGTCTTGATTACCTATTGTGTACACCTGGGGTTTCCCTCCCTCATGTGTTTAAATAGTCCTCGTTTCCCCTTGTCTGGTGCGGGGTCGTTCTTGTCTGCTTGCCTTGTCTCTTGTCCCTTCGTCCGTCATCACCCCCACGCCAGGTTTGTTTTTGTCGTAGTTCTGCCACAGTCATAGTCACGTTTTGTCATAGTCTTGTTTATCTTTATTTTGTTACTTTGTCAAGTCATAGTTTTTGCCACAGTATTGTTTGCTCATTGCTTTGTTACTTTGCCCACAGTTTGCCACAGCTTTGTTTTGTACTTTGTCTGGACATTCACCCTGTTTTTGTTCAATAAACCTTGTTCCCCTCACTCCGCGACTGAGTCCTCCCGTCAAGAACCACCCCCCCTGACAATTACCATAAAAATAGATCTATGGTGTACGACTGTAAAGACCTTTTCGACCCGCTAATCACATAAATGATAACCAACTACTTTGTCAACAGGTTAAATACAAACTCTTGAACCATGCGGATTCGTTCCTTTTCATTAAGCAGCATTGCCAACGCCAGCACGCTATTTCTGCCCTAACCCCCCTCTTGCAGCCATATAGTGGTACGCTCCGAGTTGGATTCGTTCAGCTCATTGACCGGCGAATAGTTC